ATACCTACAGACAGACAGACAGACCGACCGACAGACAGACCGACAGACAGACAGACAGACAGACGGCCGACAGACAGACAGACAGACCGACCGACCGACAGACGGACAGACGGACAGACATATATACATACATATACACATGCATGTACATGCTCAATTTTGCGCGTGTAGCTGTATGTACGTATGTACACATGTGTGTAAGCATGTATGTAACGATGCGTGAGTGAATGTATGCATCTGCCATTTCCTTGATATGCAAACTAGCAAACCACCATAAATACATGCATGCATACCTGCTTGCTTACGTATGAACTTGTACATGGATGTCTGTTTGTGCATGTTATATCCACCAAAAAAGTGATTATTTACTACGTGCAGCTACGTAACTGCATACCTGCAAGTATACTTACTCTATCTACACGCATGCATGCATATTAACCAAGCCTTTAGAGAGAAATGCGATCGTTATCGGAATCCATTGCCTACTCAAGGCTTCAGAATGTAATCTTATAATAGGGTCATTAAGCCATTTGAGCAGTTGGCTCAGGATCAGGGTGTCCTATCGTTAGGCTATGACCATGGACCTAGACGCCCAAATTCAGAAACCCTAAACCTTAAACCAACCCAAAAGCCGCACCTTGACGTAGGGGTCGGAAAGGCTGAACCTTCCGGTGAGAAGCAACCGAAGAACAAGAGAGCTGTTGGGATTGGGATGTTGCTTATATATACATATAGATATGAGAAAGAGCTTATATAAAGGTAATGAAAAAAGACCAGGGTGTTGTGGTACGAAGCATAGCTATACAGGGACATAACTAGGGGGTTGCTGTTTGGGATACAATATGAAACTTTTTGAAGTATGTAGCCCAAACGTCTCTGTTGTTACGGACATACATGCATGTGCGGAGGAAGCTTAGGAAAACAAGCGGAATCCAGGGTCAGCTTTGCATGTACTTCTTGCCAATACCTCCGTCCAGTTCAAGTCTGTTCGACATCCTTAAGCGTGACACAGCTACATGCCCGTTGCCCACATTGCGAGTCGCACTTGCGAGACGTGAAATAGATAACGGGGTCAACAAACAGGCCAGTCAACTCAATCTTGATGCACCCCAGACCAACAAGAACTGCAGAAGCACACTACTATTTTACAAGAAAACACCAGCCAACCCTGACCCAAACGATGCCTTAAAACCCTGCACCCCGAACCACAGAACACCCCTGGACCCCAAACCCTTGGGTGCCTTGGATCATTTAGTTGGGCCGTGAAGGGGTCCGCGCTGTAACTACCTACACCATACCTATTGTCTCCATTGTAGCTCCTCTTGCTTAACTATCCGATTATATGTTTAGGATCCTAAGAGGCAACCCCCCAAAAAGGAACTACGACGGAGACTGTAGGTAGTATGGGGGCCTTAATATTTAGAATAGGTTTTGGGGATTACTTCTATGATACCTAAAATTATGATGCGGGACACCGAGAATACTATCGGTAATTGTTTGGCCCCTAGAGGAACTGTTGATGATATAAATCCTGCATGACCTTAAGGACCCTAAACTACGGCAGGGTTTATATGGGGGTTTCCGAAAATAGGGGACCCCAATATAGTACTGTACCCTAAATAGTAGGATCCTTATTATAAGGACCCCCAAATAAGGTAACCCTACTTTCGGAAACTCCCATATCATCAACCGTATACCCTAAACCCTGAACCCTAAACCTAGACCCTAAACCCTAAACCCTAGACCCGAAACCCTAAACCCTAGGGGTATGAAGTTCATACCCTCTCAGGCCCACCAGTCGGCATTGATCAGGTTGTGCGCGGCCACCACTCGGACCAGGAGGAGGCCAATCGCGCCGCGCCTTTGCATTGCTGGTATGTCGGGTAGAGGGTTCAGGGGTTTAGGGTTTAGGGTTTAGGCTTGGGGTAAAGGCTTCGGGTTCAGGGCTTGGCCTGATGTAAATCGTACCCTAAAACCTTCTCAACCTGTCTGGCTTCCGATCTGGTAACCTACCCGTCTATCGATGTATCACTGAAGATCGAGAACTTATCTTCACAGGTTTCGGGCCCAGGATTTAGGGTCGGGTCTACGTGCAATCGGACCAGAATACCATACGAGTACTAGCGACTCCTGTTTTACCATTGTGCTATGTTGAGCATGAGGCTCTCTCCGCGATCTTCGCATGTGTCTGAGTCCGCATTTGCAAATGGATGCAGACAAAGTAGAGTACATGAGTGCTTTCATATATACGACCTACATTATGTACAGACGGAGGTAGATCGAGTAAGGCTGTTTCATTCTCGCACAGATGCAGACCTGAAGACGAACGTAGTATGTCCACCAGGACTGATACCTATCCATCGTAAAAAGGCCACACAGTGGCCGAAGAGACGCACAAATCCTTCATGCCATAGCTCTGCTGTGTGTACTCTGACCAGACAACCCTACACCCTAAACCCCCTCCACCTAGGCACTCTTTCCTGCAGTGTTTGCCCACGTTGTATCGTATAACCCATACCCTAAACGCCTAGAGCCCTAAACCCCTTTTCCTTAGCCCTAAGCCCTGGCACATGAACATAAGCCGCTTCTTGAACATTCCCTTCCCTTACCATATTAAAGGGTGCCCTTTGGTACAGTTAATCCGAAACCCTAAACATCAATGATATTACAATGCATCCTTCACTATTAGCAGGAGGAAGTTACTCCGCTTCCTTTGCAGAAGCACTGCCCCGCTGGTGGTGCCAAGGCCGCGGCGCTGCGGCAGCATCAATTTTCTGGAGGATGGCTTACGGCTTGCAGGTTATATGGTTACTGGGTGTAGGGTTTCTGAGAGGCTTACGGGGTTACGGGGTTACCGGAGGTTTAGAATAGAGTTTAGGGTCCCTAACCGCGAGCCCTAAACGCAAGCAAGAACGTTTAGGGTTTGGGGATTTGGGGCTCCCAGGGTAGATGAGAAGTGGGACAAACGGTTCAGCGTGGGGGTTTAGGGTTTAGGGCTGGGCCTAAATTCCAGCCGAAGACATTCTCAAGATTCGGATTTAGGATTTAAAGGTTTAGTAGGGTTTAGGGTCTTGTGCTTAGGGCAGAACCGCATGTAACACATGTGCTTCGACCGACGATGACAACTTGAAGGGTTCATGAACCTTTTGTTACATGTTGGGCCTTGAAGGGTTCCCATATGGGTACCTCTTTGGGCAACCGGCATGGCTCCTAAACCCTAAACCCTAAAATCCTAAAACCTGAACCATATCCCCAGCTCCTAGAGGGTTTACAGTAGGGTTTAGGGTTTAGGGTTTGTCACGCAGACAATATCCTAGGGGCTGAGTACCGTAGCCCAACAAAGGTTAGCCTCTTGAGTTGTGGTAGGATTATATAAACCCCAAAAGGTTGCCTGCCCTTCCGGGAAGATTATGAACAGGGCTTGTTGAAGGATTGCATGCCGTTCTATGATCGAAGGTACTTCTACATGATTCGGGTGCCTTTCGAGCCTGGATGCACAGAAAACCGAAACTTTCAAGGCATCTATTTCTATGAACCTCTGAGGCAAGCTTGCCCGAACGGCCTTCTCCTAAGAGCAGTAAGATCCTATGCAGGCATCGGGGACATATTACATTACTTATCGTTGTATTGAGGATTCTAGGCAGGAGCTCTGGTACTCGTGGCTGGGGCTTCAGTGCTAGACTTTTCTTAGAGGCCTCGTCGACATCTTCGCGCCAGAGTGTCGAGAGGGTTCGCGGATCCTTCGGGTCGGGGTGGGGTTTCACACGACAGGTTTAGAGTTGGGCTAAACCCTAAACCCTAAACCCTAAATCCTAAACCCTAAACCCTGAACCCTAAACCCTAAACCCTAGAGAATCATTAAAAAACAGCTTTGGCAGAGCCTGCTCTGGAGGCCACTGTAGGGAAAAGCTCTGGGGGCCTCACTCCTGAAAGCTTAAAGCGCTTTGGGCGTTCAACATCCAACATCCTCTTCGATTGCTAAGAAAGGCTGGGTCCTAAACCCTACCTAGGAATCCAAAAACCTACCGTTTTAGGGGTCCTACCCTCTAATTAAGGCGTCATAACCTACTATTTTGTAGGGTTGGGGTCACAGGTAAACCCTAAACGGTGGAGATGCTTTGACTTTGCTGGTGGCAGTAACAGAAGCCAAGACCCGACTGAAACCCTAAACAACCTCTGTTGCTGCGGCAGAAGACCCTACAGTCCTACAGCATACAGGAAATGGCCCTATGTTGTTTTGGTTTAACCTGAAACCAGGAATTTGTTACCACCATAAACCCTAAACCGCCTATGTTTTCTGTGGCTTAGCCCTTGAAACCAGGAACTTGTTACCACCCTAATGACCCTAAGCCCTAAACACTCCAGCCTCAAACCGACACCGGAACCTCAACCATCCTCCGTTGAAGCCCTAAGCCTCCCCAAAGCCAAACCAAAGGGGTAGTTCTCTAAACTAGGGTCCCCCTTTCAGGGGTCCCTTTCATAAGGGTGCCGTACTATATTGGGGACCTAAAGAGGGAGCCTATTTTGGAGAGCTACCCAAAAGCCAAAGAAGGAACTGAACAAGTCTGAACATTCTCTCCGACTCTAAGTCGACAACTTGACCCCTAGAAGCCCCAAACCTCACAAGCCTCAAACTGACCCCTCCTCCTGCGATTCCCCACCTCAACTCTACTTCAAATCCGGGGACTTCGGGGGTCGAGATCTCCCAAAAAGGAGCCCAAAACGGACCCCCAAAGGCCCCTCAAGGCCCCTAAACCCTAAACCCTAAACGTTAAACCCTAAACCCTAAACCTGAAACCCTAAACCTTAAACCCAAAGCCCCCAAAAGGCCCCGGAGAGCACCTCCTCAGCGTCCTCCTCCTCCTCCTCTTCTTCCGCCTCTTCGGCGGGTTCCTCCATCTCAGGGCCGCGAAACCTTCGCTCCGCTCTTTGCTTGGGCCAGGAAAAAATATAGGGTTTAGGGTTTAAGATCTACAGGGACTTTAGTGGGTTGAGGCCACGTTCAAGGTTTGGGCTTTGGGAGTTTAAGGGTGGATTTAGGGGGTGGAGTGCCAGCTCTATGGGGGGGACAAGGATTCGGGGGGGATCTGCGGTTAACGGGCTTAACCCTAAACCCTAAAGGGGATTCGGAGCTGGAGGTGTCGGAGGTATAGGTGAGCAATGAAGATAGCAATGATGCTCATATGGGCAGTTGTGTGGAATTGCGGTCAGCTGCGGGTCCTTACTATCAGAATAATGCCGAATCCTACACCCCGGAACCCTGAAACCCCAAAGCCTTTTTAAGCCTCTTCTTCCCAAGCAAAAGCCAAAGCTTTACAGCACGCGCCCTGAGCTCGAACAAGTCTGGAAGCTCTGCAATCGCGGCTTGGAGGTCCTGCATGCGGCTTAACGGTTCTAAACTTGGGTTAAAGGACCCTAAACCTTAAACCCTATAAACCCTAAACCTTAAACCCTAAACCCTATAAACCCTAAACCCTAACCCGTGCTCCGCAAGGACACGGCTTCTTGTAGCAAGTTTAAGAAGATTCGTACGTGAGCTTTTGGCACTCTCCGGGTAACTGCATTCGCTGGGCTGTTTGGCTACTGGCTCCATGTTTAGGTTGGTCTGGGAAGATCAAGGGCGATACTGTTCCGCTTAGCCCCGCCCCCCACCCCAGAGTCTAGGCCCCAAGTCCTGAACCCTCGGTCCTAAATCAGCCTAAACCCTTGCTAAACTCTACCGTGCGTGCAAACCCAAACCCTTACCATTCATGCTATGTAGGGGCCTTAATAATTAGAATAGGGTTTTGGGTTCCTTGCGACGCCCGAAATCAGAAACCCCGGCATGTGAAAATTTTAATACCATGGATCTTGAACCCTAACATTTGAGTGCCTTGGTTCAGGTAGACAACCTCAAGCCAAGGTACTACATAAATAAATAAACCAATCAATCAACCAATCGTTAAATACATAATGAATAAATAAAAAGTAATAGGTATATATATATATAGATATACATATACATATACGTATATATATATATATACATATTATGATGTATTATGTATTTGTATTATATATACACTTATGTAATTAGTTTTTTGTTTAGAGGATAAGTATATACAAGGACTAGATAACCTATAACAGATAGCATGCAATAGACAAAACAAGTAGCAAAGACTAGAGAGTGTAGATTCTCTGGATGGCTCGCTGCCCTGAGACCAGACACATGAAAGCCGAAGCCCTGAAACCCTATTCATAGTAGCCCCTGTCACATCTAAAGTTTAGAGGGTTTAGGGTTTAGGGCTTGTGGTTAACCTTTAGGGCTTAGAGTTTTGGGCTCAGGGCTTAGGGGTTAAGTTTATGCAGGGCATCATGAATCCCTTCAAAGCCAAGCCAACGACTGCACAACAGTAGTGGCAATAACTACCCATGGGCCCCTAAGTAGTTCCTTTTTGTGGTTTATATTTAGAATCCTATAAGGCAATCCCAAAAAGGGACTACTTAGGGGCCTATGGGTAGATGCAATGCCCGATGCAGCAAACCACGCAAGAGCCAGAAAACAATTACTGCAGCATTTGGTGCGTCAAACAATGCATCAGCCACTGCCATCGAAAGCCACAGCACAAGGCCCTGAAATCACACATATAAGCTCAGGGGCCGAGTACCTTAGGCCAAAAAAGGCTAACCCTTTTGAATTATATTAGGATTATATAAGCCCCAAAAGGTTAAAGGTTACCTACTCAGCCCCGACGTAAATCCCTGCAGCCCCTTCCAGAACTGGCGGAAGGCAAGAAAACTCTCTACCAACAATGCCCTGAGAAACCTGTGACAGTTCAAAGTTAAGGGTTTAGTTTTTAGGGTTTAGGGTTTGGCTTTTAGGGTTTAGGGTTCAGGGTTTAGCTCAAAGCTCACATTCGTTGAAGAGCAAAACAACCAAAGCCCGCGCGATCTCCAGGCCAAGCAAGCTCTGAAAAGTGAGCCTTGAATCCGAAGCCCGTTGGCGGAAAACCCTGAACTCCAACCCTAAACCCTAAACCCTAAACCCCTAGCAAAACTGTACAAGACCCGTCCCTAAGAATTGCAGACGGCACTGGAACTCGCACGGAAACCTGTGACTCTCTCTGATAGAAGCCTTATAGTAGGTTCCCCAGTGCCCGTTTCATAATAAGGGTACCCTTTTTCCTACTATTTCGTTTTAATAGGGGAACAGGCAAAAAGGGTACAACTGGGGAACCTAGCTTATAGCATCGCTATGGAACCCTGATCCAGGATCCTCATCATCTGCAAATGCCTCCTTCCAGCTCTCCAACTCCAGCAAGAGCGACAGAAGCGCCTCCAGCCACCCGGGAAGCCAATGAAGCCCCAAAATGGGGGGGGGGGGGAAAGGAGCCTTGAGACTCAGACTTTCGTTTTGGGGGTGCATGAAAATGATGGACGTATTCCGGGACTCTTCGGGGCGACTCTAGCTAATTTAGGGTTTAGGCTTTAGGGGTTTAGGGTTTAGGGGCTTAGGGTTTAGGGTTTGTTTCTGCAGTTCTTGAAGCTTACGGCTCCTGTACCTGGGAGGATCACGGGACGTAGCGGCACGCTCAAACAAACACTCAAGCAAACTAGGGCTTATAGGGTTTCGGGTAGGAGGTGAGAGCCGGGTTCCTCCGTAGTAGTGTAGGGACCTTACTAATTAGAATAGGGTTTTGGTGTATATTATAGTGAACAAGGAACCCCAAAAATAGTATAGGTATTTATTGAGGCCCCTATATCAGTATGGTTTGGGTTTGGGGGTTTAGGGCTTGCAGGGACAAGGGTTTGACGATTAGTTAGGGCTAGGGTTTGTGTACCCAGAGGCTTCACCATGGGCTGATTCAAAATTTCAAGGGTCTGTAAATTTGCGAGTCCCTAAACCCTAAACCCGTAAGGCTTTCATTCTGAAGCTTAGGTATAAAGCCCCCAAGGGACTGAAGCTTGAGAGGCCTCTATTCAGCTATTCAGGATGCTGCGTGAGGGGTCCTACTGTTGATGATATAGTTCCTGCACTACCTTAAGGACCCTAAACTATGGGAATTATGGTCTATTCCTTATTATGGGTAGTGCAGGATTTATATCACCAACCGTAGTATACAGTATACCCAACCTGGCAGACAGGACCTCGAACCCCTCAACCCTGAAACCCCGAGACTCGAATCCTGAAGCCCGAAGAGCAAGGGTTTAGGGTTTGGGATTTATAGGGTGTAGGGTTTAAATAGGGTTTAGGGCTTGGGATTTAGATTTTAGGGTTTAGGATTTATATAGGGTTTAGGGTTTAGGATCTATTTAGGTTTAGGGTTTAGGATTCATATAGGATATAGGGAAAACAGGGTTTAGCCTGGACCAGCCCGACCTCGAACCCGAAGCCCGAAAGAACAACGCGTAGCAACTGAACTCGGAAGCCCAAACCCCTACACCCACACCCTAAACCCTGTAAAGCCCCTTAACCCTAAAACCCTAAACCCGTTACCGACTAAACATAAGCTCATAGGCCCTCATGGCCTCTGTGCGCTTTCGGTGCCGCTTTTTGCGAGAGTGGACATCGAGCAGGAACTTGAGAATGGAGTCCTCAAGTCACTTCAAGGGTATGCGCTGTATTTCTCAATATAGGGTTATTACCTAAACCCTACGTAGACTCTAAACACTAAAAAACCCTACCTACCTCTCTGAAACTCCGAAACTGGTATCATCGTCCTAGGGTTTGGGTTCGGGGTGGCAAGTCTCAGGCGTTTTTGTTTGGCTCTTTCCTCGGCGTGAGCCAGGAATACCTCGTAGGTATGTGGGCCCCAACAAGGTATACCAGGGGTTGAAACTTCTGAAGGGTTTCGGGCGTCATTGCTTTTAGGGGTGAGCTTTCGGAGCACTATGCTGACGAAGGGCATGTTGTGCTCTCAGTTGCTGGCAAAGTCCAAGCTCGCACTGCGGTGAGGACACCAGGCGACGCCGCAGTTCGCTGTTCTCTCTGCGGCATAGGGACAACTCCCAAGCCTCTCCACCACATTGGGCAGATTGCAAACTACGCCCAGAACTTTCGCCTTCTCGGGGAGTTTTCTCCCGTTCAGCCGGCATCGCCCGCCTCAATGGGCAACCGCACAGGCTCACTGCTTTCGATTGCGCGAGCTCGGCGGGGGGTGGGTGAAGGAGCTTATCCTAAGGCTCCATATACCCATCTAGTATATACTTATCGACCCTAAAGTACCTATATAGGAGCCCCTGTAAGGCCTAACTATATACTATATGGGTACATGGAGCCTTTGGGTTACTGGTGGGCCTTCGAGCTGTTGCGAGTGGAGCCTGCGTGTTCAAAGGCCCTAGAAGCCCTAAAAGCCCCAAAAGCCCTAGAAGCCCTAAAACTGTAAAGACACTGCAGTCGATGTGGAGAGTACCAAAGTGGCCAAAACCCTAAGAGTCCCAGTGCCTATCCACCTCCCGATGTTCCGCCAGCTACGAAGCTTCCTTATTACGATCCCACCCAAAAGGACCAGGGAGGGAGGGAGGGAGGGAGGGAGGGAGGGAGGGAGGGTTAGGGGTTTAGGGTTTAGGGTTCAGGGTTTAGGCTTTAGGCTTTAGGAACCCGAAGACCTGATACTTTGGACAGTTGGGGGCTACTGCTAATAGAATCCGACTTCGGGGTGCTAGGAGGCGTGTAACGGTTTAGGGTTTAGGGTTTCGGGCTTAGTGTAACTAGTTTGAGTCATACCAAACAGTCGCTTTATTCCTTTACAAGAGCACTAGATGATGAGTAACAAAACCTGGGCAAAGGAACCCACAGCTCCAAACCCTCCCCCAAGAATGACCCTGAAGGGTACAAGTGCCCAAATTGTAAAAATCTTACCCTACCAGTTGAGTCTAGCTATGTACTCTGTGAGGACCAAGACAAATAGGGAGCGAACTCCTTCAAGCTGTCCTTGTGCTCAATCTTGTCCAGGGCTGCTTTGTTGATGCGACTGTCCTCCCACCATCGCACAGCCATGAAGGGACTAAAACCCTTCACCTGAAACTGTAGCCACCCCGAACCCAGCGCACGCTAAACGTTAACCCCTAGACCTCAACCCATGACCTCACCCCAAACCCTAAACTCCTTGCATGAAGCAGAAACTCTGCCCTGTATAAACCGGGATGGGGTGGTTGTAGTGAGGGTACCTTTCGGAGAGCCTGGGTATAAGGGAAACATAAACGTTGAATTGGATACTCCAGAAGCACATCACATACCTTCAATGAACATCTTGCAGTGCAACCATCATCAACAGAAACCCATGGATCAACGTGCCAAGGTATCACTCAATGATCAGTGACGGTATGCATGTATGTATGCATGTCTGTCTGCCTGTCGATCTGCCTGTCTGTCTGTCTACCTGTCTGTCTGTATGTATGTATGTATGTATGCATGTATGAACAGAATGAAGGCGTGTATGCATGTATGCATGTAGGTATGTAGTATATGTGTGTGTGTGTATATATATAACTATGTATGCATGTATGTATGTATGTATGTATGGATGTATGGATGTATGGATGTATGGATGTATGTATGTATGTATGCATACATGTTTGTATGTATGTATGTATGTATGTATGTATGTATGTATGTGTATATGTTTATATGTATATATATATATATACACACATGAGTCTGAGAATGCACTGTTCCCAGCCGGTCCTGGGTGATGCGACAGACCTGGCGCTGCAGTCGCTTCTCTGGTTCCCTCATCCAGAGCCAACTCTACATCGGCCCTGCCACATTTTAGGGTTATGGGTCTAGGCATGTGGTTGTCGGCTTCGTTGGGTCCTTCAGAGATCACAGACACTTTTTTTCTTAACCATAAGCCCTGAACTCTAAACCCTCCGTTTGCTTATAAACCCGAACAGGTACAACCCCAACGCCCCTTAACCCCTAGAACCCCTAGAACCCCTAAACCCAAACCCTAAAACACCTGAACCCCAAAAAAACAAAAAAAACCCTAAAACCCCTAGAACCCCTAAATACCTTAAGCCAAAAGCCCCTGAACTTCCACGAAGGGACCGCTCGGCGGAAGGTCTCGAAGGCCGCGAAGAGGTCATCCTCGCACGCGGGTTTAGGGTTTAGGATTTTAAAGGAATTTGGGGTTCAGGGTTTATGGCTTTTTGAGGGTGAAGGGTATAGGGTTTTGAGGGTTTTAGGTTTGGGGTGTAGAGTGTTGACGTAGAGCTGTACGGGTCAACTGGGCATTCCCGAAGGCTCCATGTACCCATATAGTATATACTTAGGCCTTAAAGGGGTTCCTATGTAGGTACTTTAGGGTCTAAGTAAAGGGGTTTGGGGTTTAGGGCTTAGGGTTCAGGGCTTAGGTTTCAGGGTGTAGGGCCGTGTAGGGTTTGTTCAGGGCTTAGGGTTCAGGGTTTACGGTTTAGGGTTCAGGGTTCAGGTTTAGGGTTTAGGGCTTAGGGTTCAGAGTTTTAAGGGTTTTGGAAGAACCACTTACTTAGAGGAATTCGTGAAAAGGACCCCCTTAAACGAGCTCCTCACAGGAACCCCTTCAGAGGGACCCTAAAGCCTTGAAACCATCAGTGTGGGAAGCCCTTATCTTATAATTGTAAACCCTATAAAACCTACTTTTTTTAGGGATCCTTGTTATGACTTCCTTATGTAAGCCCTTAAAAAGCTAAGGTTCTTTGGGGTCTAGGTAAACAGAAAGCTTCGAGGCCCCTGCAAAACCCGTCCAGACACTAAAGGCCCAGCTCCCAAAAACTGGGTTCTTGTTAAGGGATGTAATTTAAGTTACCATAACAAGGAATCATATTATTTGCTATAGATCCCTATTATGGCAAGTTAAATTAAATCCCTTAACAAAAACCCAGAGAAAAACAAAACAAACTCTCATCCTTCAGATGCCCGGGCTCGTCCTCGTCCAGCCCTGAGCCCGTGAGCACCGTGAAGCCTTGCAGACGGGACGGATTGACTTTAGGTCTACCCACAGGCCCCTAAGTAGTTCCTTTTTATGGTTTGTGTTTCGGATCCTATAAGGTAATCCCAAAAAGGAACTACTTGGTTTATATTTAGAATCCTATAAGGTAATCCCAAAAAGGACCTACTTAGGGGCCTATGGGTAAAG